AAATGTGTTTAAGATTTAATTACAAAGACTCCCACTCACGACCAATTCAAATTATTTGTTAGAGGAAAATGTAAAATTTTGATTTTTAATGGGTATACTATAATTTTCTAAAATCTTTGATTCATTACTAGATCAAATGTGATGGTTTGTACAATAATCACCCATAATATTCCCTATATATAATTTACAAGTCTGAAATGCTGTAAATTGTAATACTGTCTTTAGTCTACACTCTACAGTACGTGCTTAGTCCTGAATCACGTAATATTCGTAACACTTTTTTTTTTTCATAAAAAGCAAATTAATGATTTTGTTTATAGGTATATATATGAGATATCAAAAGCTGCAACTTTGCCATTTCTTTATTTCATGTGATCATTAATTTGAACATAATTATCGCCATTTTAATGGATACGTGACTGACCACCACTACTACCACTACCGAACACAACTTTGTTAATTTATATACTAACTTTTTTATTTAGACGTACTGTACAGCTAAACATATTTCAAAATCGAAATAGCGTACAACAAAAGGCAGAAAAATACAATATTTGGTAATATTTTTTTTTTCCAAAATTCCTTTCTTTTGCGTAGGGGTCTGCAAAAATTCTATGGAGCCATTATATGGCTCCCTTATAGAGTCATCCATAATTTTATATATTGACACATGTCCAATGTGTATTTATTATAAGACACGTGTCAATACACCATTTGTGAATAACTATAGATGGTTCCATAAGCCGAGTAATCCGATGGCTCCATAGCAAAACTGGTAAGTGTCGAGTAAATTGAATGCATGTTTATTAATTGGAGAGAGAAATAAATCCCCTAGTGAGAAATCAAATCTCTTAGTTATGAAAAAAAAATCACTACCGAACTCTTTTTTTATTTAAGTTTCTAAGGGTAGTATATATGAAAATATATGTTATATAAAGTCTATATATATGTAAAATTCCCTATTCTTTTGGATGTTTGGTCTTATGTGGATAGCAAAAGCGGAAGCTAATTCGAAATGACACAATTGAATGAAACATAATAATTTATCTCATTTAGATGAACATGGAATAAAACTAGTCAAATTAATATCTATAGAGAGTTGCAAAAAAAAAAAAATAATGGTCCCCAATCAGAAAGTACCTGAAAAAGAAAACATTGATCACTACAAGAAAATAATGAAATTCCAACAGAAATATATTCCAATAGAATTCCAACGGCAATTCCAATAAATATTTCAATGTTATTATTTCCGTTGGAATTATTCCAACGGAAATTCCAACAAAAATATTCCGTTGGAATGAGTTTTCGATTGGAATTTCCGTTGGATTTTAACGATTCCAACGGTAGATTTTCCAACGGTGGTGAAAATAAAAATTCCAACGGAAATTTCATATTCCAACGGAAATTCCTACTGTCAAAAGCCGTTGGAAATATAGCCGTTGTAATCATCAAATTCCATCTAAAATTCCAATGAAAAATACATTCCAATGGAATATTTTCATTGGAATTTCCGTTGGAATGATTCTGACCGAAGCTATACCATTGGAATATTCGTTGGAATTTCCATTGAAATATATTACCATAGAATTTTCCGTTGGAATATAATAATTTGATGACATTCCTCATCTTTTCTTTCAACATAGAAAAAGGAAAAGAGAAAACAATGATCAAACACGCACGACCCTTTTCTTTGGATTCCCTACAGAGGGTGGCCAATTTCAGACATTTTATGCACCCCACATTCTCCACACATTCTGACACACACAAAGGATTAAAAAATAATAATAAAAATAAAANTAATTCCATCTTCCAGCATTAAAAGCATCAAACAATTTGCCCACACAGGCTTTTGGCGTCCAAAATCCAAAGTGTTTTTTACACAAAGAAATTCCTCCCACAAATCATTGAAATATTAAGGCTGATAGACTGCCAAAAAGCAAATACTTAATATATTTACCTTTAATTATAAGAAGCTAGTGTTTTGATGACCATCCAACAAACCTTGAATGATCCATCCAACAAATCTACACGTGTGCTGGCTGGATAGCCAATTAATCCAAAAGTTTCAATAAAAATAAGAATTAAGATTAGAAATTAATTGAATAATAATTTGGAAAATATATTCTTATTAAAAATGCATACATATGCTAAACATGTCATACTTTTATTCATATTTTATTTCAAAATATGCTAAAAGTATGAAAGATTAATATAGAGCTTCTGTTTGCTTTCAGTATCATACCAACGGATTGATTTTAACTGCTTTTGTATCATTAAAAAAAAAAATAATACTTTATATAATTAATGAAGCTTAAATCAACCCATGATCTCAAATTGCACTCCTTCAAATTACAACAAAGTAAGAAAATACACTGGCAAATCACAAAAATTAAGCACAAGCCCTTATACTTGGCTCATCATTAGTGTACACCCTATACACTAAAAATAGCAGCTTTAATCACCAAAACTAAAGAAAAAAGAAAGGTACTAAAAAAAACTAAAAACTAGACAGAAATTCCAATAAGACTACAATCACTCAAGCAAACTCAAACCTCACACACCCTAATTAATTAAAAATAAAAAATAAACCGGCAAACAAGAGCTAATAATTTCTTAGCTCAATCACCAAACTACAAAGCTATAATTCTACAACAAATAACTGGTCTAAACCGGGATCCCGCAAAGAGCAAAGTTGAATAAAAGCTCGATTTCCGGATGGCTGAAAAACGTGATAGATGTTCTCCTCGAAGAACAATTTGCCGAAATTCGGCGCTTTTTTGGTGCCGGTGGACAAGTTTTGATCTCCGGTATTCTAAATCTTTCGGCTTTCGGAGTCGAACAATTGCAGCCCGACAAAACTTCTTCATTCTCGACATTTTTATTATCAAAGGCTTTCGGAATATCTGGCAAAAGGGTCCAACTTTCTTGATTCTTTGATTTTTTGGCCCGTTTTTTGATGAGGGCTTTTCTTCTGCTCGATGATTTTCCAGTGCTTCTTGTTTTTCTTGATCTGTAAGAAGGACCCATTTGTGTTTTGGAGGGAATTAGGCCAAAGTGGTAATGCTAGTGGGTTTTTGTCAAACAGAGAAAAATAATTAGGAAAGGGAGAAAAAAACAGAACAAATGTGGAATATTTTTGGCGGTTTTGGGGCTCTGAGGTTTTAACTGAAATCTTTTTACGTGTGGAAAGTGTTAAATAGAATTGGCATTACAACTGTTGACAAAAGTGATAAATGTTTTTCAAGGACAAATATGTCTCATACGAAACCCGAAAACCAGTTTGAATACAATTCTTAATCAGACCTAAAATCAAAGGAAACGCATAAACACACACTATCATTTTGGAAATAATGATGAAATAGAAAAACCTTCTTACTAAAGTAAGGAAATAGTGAAACTAAATTAAATAAGCAATAGAAAATTTTCATATATAATTATGAACAAGGCTGTTGAAAAATAAAAACCAACATGGTGGAAAATGGAAGATATCAGTAACTTATAATAAGAAAAAAGGGAAAAGAAAAGAAAGGGTCAGCAAATGTTAGTTGAATTTGGTATAAAATGGAAGACTTTGGGACCAAAGAGTAGTTTTTTCTCCCTCTCAATTAAAACTGCTATGGGCATAAATTCGGGCAGCTGTTTGTTTGCCCGTGCTGCCCCAAATGAGGGGCTTAATGATTAGTGATGCTTAAGTTAAACAAAATAGTGTTAATTGCTAAGTGAAATAGTAAGTTTGAATGAGAATTCAAAATTGGACGGTATTTTAAGAAAAAAGAACATTACATATGGACCTTTCCACGTATTATTTATGTTTTAGACCCGATTCAAAATATTGATCTTGGGTTTTTGTGCTGCTTCACTTTACAATTCAAATTTTCGAAGGCACATTTTCTTTTTCCCTGAATAAAATGTGCAAACTACTTTTCGTTTCAATCTTTTGTAGTGCCTTTATTTTTCCTTGCAAGAAACAATTTAGTACTAATAACCACATATTTATTTTCAATGTGGAAACTTACTATGTACAATAGGTAGTAAACTTCAATATTAAACTTGCACTTAAAGCATCTTCAACCGTGAGCATGAATTGCAGTGTATATGACAATTAAATAGATTGTCTTCCATCCACGTAGAACAAATAGAGGTTGAAGCTCATAAAAAATCTCAAGTAATTTATTTCTATAGCCATATTATCTATTTATTTTGTATTATAAATAAGAAAAAAATGACTCATCAAGTCTAGAAGGACTTCCACATGTAGAAGAACTTCTAAAATTATTCTCTCTTTCATGCCACATCATCATAAATAGAAGTAGAAAAATCACTATTGGAGAAGGTTTATTATTGCATTCCTTCTAGAATCCTACAATGCACTTAAGGGGCATAACATTGAGATCTGCCCTGAGTTACAGAACACGAAATATCACAATACACCACTAAACAGAAAGTTGTTTTAAGCTTTTACACTCGATGCCCAAAAAAATTATCCAACAAATCAGAAGGCAAAACAATGATATTACATAGAAGGGGGCAGGTCCAAAATTGGACGATCATAACATGTAGAGACCTGCTGTCTTGATTCATTAGAAAAATGTTCTTCAGACAACTCACCCAATAGATGGAAAAAAAAAATTGCAATTTGCATAAGCAGTGGAGATAATCGAGCAAAACTAAAGCTCTCATCAGGATAGCTTCACAGCAGAAAGTAAACCAACCCTTTCGAGCTCGGTGGAGGCGTACAGTTTATCTCAAAGCCCCCTTAGGAAGTATTATATGTTGACAAGGTAAACTTTATGTGTGTTGCTGTTGTACACTCAAGTGGAAGCATCTCCAAACATAGTTAGCTGTCTAATAGCCGTTCTCGATTGTAGCTGCGCAGAGAGAGAACATTAAAATTAACATAACGAATTCAAACGACAACAAAGAAATGACTACACACAAAGAAAAAAACTAAATTACAGTAAAATGGCAATAAAATTTCAAGGGGATATTTGTATTCTCGAAAGATAACTGGATTTTCTTGTAACTAGACGAGATGTTAAGGTTAGTATTCAGTAATTATCTCTAATCATCAAGCAAGGACATTTCCCACGCACCTTTACATCCAAACAAGGGTCATTGACCATGTTCTTTAGTTGAGGGACTATGCCAGTATTACACAGTTCAGACACCCGCCCACACACACCTGGACTGCTCGGAAAAGTGAGATTCACTATAGTCCAAACAGTAGCCGTTCGTAATTGGCTGTTACTGCTCTGTAAAAACTTGATCAAAACTGTTTCCGTTTCATTGCCTGCCTGTGGAAAAAGTTGGCTCATAACGGCTTCTTTGTGGTGCTCGTTCCCAGAAGCCACATTGCAGAGTGTGTACATACACTGAGACCCAAAAAAAAGAAGAAGAAAGAGAATAGAGCAAGAATTATTACTCATATTATGAGAGAGAGAGAGAGTGTGTATTATATCACTGAACCTTAAATTGCCAATATCAAGCACATTTATAATGCAGTCAACGAACAAAACCAGCAATTACCATACAAGCAACAATTCTGAAAGAGATTGCACAAAAGGAAGTCACAAGTGTTTTTTTTCTT